AACAGTCTACTGTTAAAAGGAAAGATGACAAAAGTAAAAAAAAAGATTTGAAGAAACAACAAAAATGTTCTAAAGAAAAGAGTAAAAAGAAATGTAAGTCGGAATTATTATTTTTTATTGTTAGTTTTATTATATATCTGTGAATAAAATGCTTTTATCTTGTTTTTCAGGTAGGTCACTGTGTTATGCAAGACAATTTTTCTCTCCAGAACCTATCGTACATATCTATAAGTCTACCATTTATCCATGCTTAGAATATTGCTACCACATATGGTCCAGTGCCCATGCTATTTACCTTGAACTCCTTCATAATATCCAAAGAAGAATCAGCAATGTTATCAGTCCTGATCTGGCAACTTGGCTTCAGTCACTTTCCCACTGCTGTAAGGTTTTCCTTTTCTATAAATACTTTCATGGTAATTGTTCGGATGAGCACTTCACTACAGTACCTAGACTTTTTTAATTTAAGCGCATTACTAGACCTGGAGATCTCATCAATTTACAGTTCAGCTAGCTAGATATAGCCATAAATTCTATGCTAACAGTTTATTTTCTTGCACTTCTCGCTTGTGGAACTCCCTTCTGTCTTCATGCTTTCCAGCCAACATTAAGCTGCAAAAATTTAAATGCAATGTCGATCACTATTTACTGTACTCCTGATTACTCTTTTCATTAGTTCCTAATTCTTCCCCTCCCAGTAACCCATTGTATCTTAGCTTTACTCCCTTGTCTGGGGTGAAATTGATTTAAAAAAAAGAAGTTGTGAATATATATTTATAAACAAAATGAAAACAAAATCAGTAACATCAAAATTTCAAATCCTTCAGTTCCTAACTAGGTAAACTATTTATCAATTACCTTCCTGATGCATCCTCCAAGTTACCTTCTAACAGTTCCCAACTAGGTATTTATGCTTCTTTATCAATTACCTTCCTGATGTCATCAGTTCCTTACTAGGTATTTATGCTTCTTTATCAATTGCCTTCCTGATGTCATCATTTCCCAACTAGTTGAGTTGACACGGAATTATCAATTACCTTCTGATGTCATCAGTTCCCAAAAGGTATTTTTTTCTTTCTTATTCAATTACCTTCCTGATGTCATCAGTTCCCAACTTGAGATATTATGATGTCATCACTTACTAGGATTTATGGCCTTCCTGATGTCAATGTCCCCAACAGTTGAGTTGACACGGAATGACTCTTCTTTGAATTTTGTCAAGAATCTTGAGATATATAATACCAGATATGGCAGCAATGTTCAGGACATGGATGAATGGTAGATTTATAAAAATACAAGATGGATTCTGACAAGAAGAATTTTTCTGACATGGCACAGCGATTTGCTAAGCTACACTGGAATCTTATAGCTAAATTGTTAAATTGTTTTTAAGCCGGAATAATTCATTTATCACCTGGAAAACAAAAATGGAAGTGGATAAGTATAAAGGTTTATACAATTAAATTTGAGAAATATATATCTCTTGACAAAAATGCATTATGGTACAGCTCTGCAAAATTGAGGTCATTAAAATTAAAGTTTTCTTTCAGATATGACATCATTGAGGCTCTTTGCTGTACAGTGTCAAAAGGAAAAATTTAAACTGATAGATCAAAAACAAAAGTATATAAAGTAGATTTTTTTTTATACTTATTATTGTATTTGTAAAATGTACATTGCTTAACCCATTATACTCAAACACTTTGCTTTTAACTGAAAACAATCTACCTAATTCATCCATGGCACTGCCGGCCATTATCAACTTATGACCTATTAAACTTACGACTTTATAACCACAATAACAAATTGCCATGTCTGGACATTTGGTCACAACTGCTCTGTGTTTTGGTAGTATGAGTATTTCCCAGCTTTGTATACGACAAAACAATTTCTGTCTTATCTGACGATATCAATGATCCACAACCAAGCACCAGCAGCTAATGTTTTGTATTTTTATGTATTTTAGTATGTTTTACAACTAAAATATTTTTTGTTTTTTGTGCCTACATTTTGATCTTTTGTATGTTTAGTAAATATTAAACCATCTGTACTGTCATATGCAGTATTTGATAGAACATAAAAATAAGTATAAAATGTGTAGAGAGATGATACAAATGGTATTAAATGTAAAGAAACCATAAAAATTCTGAAAAATACAATAATGTCTAAAGAAAGATAAAAAGATTAATTACAGGCCAACTTACAATCAGATTAATTTATGACCTGTTGGTTGTAACCAGTCGTGGTCGTAAGTTAATGACGAACTGGTATAGGAAGGGTTGAAAGGTGGGGTTTCAGCCACCTTACTTTTTACTAGAACTGAAAGCTAAACAGAAGACTAACTTTGTCTTCTTGTCCTATATTACAATGATATTGAGCTAAGTTGTATCCTTTATCTAAAATTATTATTATTCTTAACTTTCATAATAAATCAGGAAACAAATTGATGCTTTTTTTACATCATCTTCTAAAACTTCCATATCAGTTTTATAGTGATTTACTAAGCTTAGCTCCAATGTGGCACTAGGTTGAAAGTATGGAGCACCCAGTGAAGATTGAACTCACTACTCAGTAGTAATTGATCTAACAAGACAAGCTTGCTAACCATTACACCACTTCAAAGTGCCCTCATATCAGTTTTATATGGTCTCTAGGTTTCATTCCAGGAAATAAGTATATATAAACAGCAAAAAATGTTGATTTTAAAATAACAAAAAAATTTTTTTACTGTAGAATAATAGATGTAAAAAAAATATTCAATTTTATGAGAGAAGCAGATAATAACAAGACAACCGACTTAGCCCCACCACTTTTAGTATCTGATTTATCACTACTGACATTTTTATTTGGTGGCCCCTGTGCTTATAATTTTGACCCTTTAAAATCTTGGTGAAATACATTAAATGTATGCAGCTCTTCAGTATTTTTTATTCACAAAACAAAAAAAAAAAAATTATTTTCAGATGTTTTTAGTGTCTATTTTTCAAATAAAAGGTTTCTAGGGACTTTTTACACACACTTAATCATTTTTAAACAGGAAGTTTTATCATATGAGAATTTATGCCAGAAAATATTTTTCGACTTTAACCTGATCTCTGTGTGTGCTATAGGTTCATTGATATAAACAGCTACTAGCAATGTAATTTTCATTGCTGATTATTATCTGGACAGATGTACTGATGAGAATCTAGCAACTGGGCAAACAATCGTTAACTTGCTATAATGTTGACCATTAAATTTGGATAAAATCTCATAGCTAATCATCAAACCTGTTTATAGTGATTTAGTTCACTATATATTTTTATTATATTATAACTATCATTTGAAACCATTATGAGAAAACTAAAAATGCTTACATTTGCTGAGATGGTCTTATGTCTGCATATCACTGTTTTTGAACTTTTATATTCACAAACTAGTAAAAATATATACTAATTGCTTGTTATATATTTTGACCTTTCTTTTCTCATCTCATCAGGAGTGTCTTTGACTGATTTTCCATCCAGAATGGAATCTCTACTGTGTGATATGCATATAACCTTGTCCATGGTTTCTTCTATCTTCTCCAAACTAGATCCCTACAATTGTTCTAAGGAAATGTGCCCCTAAACTGGCCCCTGTTCTCCCCAAACTCTACAACAAATGCCATGTTTACTAACTTGTTTTAAATCCTCTTTGGTAGTTCTTGTCTTTAAAAATTCTTATGAACATTCTGCTCTCTCAATTTATTGTTCTATTAGTCTTTACTTTTCCTTCTTTTTGACAAAGTATTTGAGACTCTAATCAACTCTAAAGTAGTTAAGCATCTCACTTTTCACTACCTCCGTTCAGATAGACAATACAAAGGTGTTTGACAAAGTACACCACAAGGATCTACTGGAACTGCTCAGCAACCTTGAGACATTTGGGAAAGATATTAGAATAATCAAGAACCTATACTGGCAACAAATGGCATGCATGTGCATTGAGAATGAGTTCAGTGAATATACAAAAATAGAAAGGGGCATAAGGCAAGGATGTGTCTTCTCACCAGACTTATTCAACCTATACAGCGAAGCAAGTCTGAGAAAATTGGAGATCCTACCAGGATTCAGCATTGGCGACCACAATCTTACCAACATAAGATATGCAGATGACACAGTACTGATAGCAGACATGAAAAAGAAACTACAAAACCTCCTACAGAATGTAGTGAGGGAAAGCGAGAAGAACGGACTAAACATAAGCTACAAGAAGATGGAATGCATGATCATCAGTAAAAGGATGAGCCCAAAATTCAATTTGCAGGTTGGGGACACTAAAATCAAGCATGTGCAGAAGTTTAAATATCTGGAATGTGTTCTGACAGAGTATGGTAGGTGCAACACTGAGATCCAAAATTGATTGGGATGGCCAAGGATACATTCCAAAAGCTGGGCAGAGTATTACGAGACAGGAGGATTTCTTTGGTGACAAAGAAAAGAGTACTGAGCTGCTATGTGACATCTGTCCTCCTATATGGCAGTGAATGTTAGAAGGTCTCCTCAAAGACTCGAGGCAGTGGAGATGTGATTCTACAGAAGGATGCTAAGAATGTCATGGAGTGAGTGTGTGAGCAGTGATGAGGTCTTGGAGAGGATGCAAACAAGTAAGAAGTTTATACTTAACATAAGAAAGAAGCAGATGAAATTTCTGGGATACGTAATGAGAAAGGAGGGCTGGAGAATCTGATACTCACAGGTTGAATAGAGGGAAAATGAGACAAGTGAAAGCAACGCATGACATACCTGGCAGGGTTTAGCAAGTGAATTACAGAATGTGGTCTGGGAGAGTTTGCAGAGGCACAAAACTTATTGAGAGCCACAAGGAATAGGGGGAAGTGGAGAGCCATGATTGGCTGTTACTGAATTTGTCTATCAAGTTTTAGATAAGAAAGACAAGGCTTGAACATACATATCTTGAAAGTATTTGACAGGGTTTGGTATGCTGGTGTCCTTCACCAGCTATAGGGCTATAGTGTCTCTGGCTGAATATTTGACTTGATGCAATCTTTCTTAAAAATCATGTAATGAGAGTCATGTTGAACAGTCACTCTTCTAGATCCTTTCACATTAATGTGAGGGTCTCCTGAGCTTTATCCTTGTCCCTACATTGTTTTTGACCTTGATCAATAACCTTCCTGATGTTATCGGTTCTCAACTTGGGATTTATGATAATGACACCACTATTTACCTCTGTCTTAATAATAAGTAAAATTGGCAGCTGATCTCAAAAATGACCTCCAATCAGTTGTTAAGTGAGGTAAGATATGGCTTGTAAATTTTAAAGCCTCCAAAACAAAACTGCTAACTTTTAGTCATCAAAGAGAATTGTTCTTTTCTTATATCAGCATGGCTGATGCTAACCTCTAGGTGAGCAACACATTGGACCTTCATGATCTCATGTTTTCCACTGACATGAAATAGAATGATTATATTGGATTAAATGTTAGGACTTCTGCTGTTCATTGTACCGTGTCAGACAATTTTTCTTGCCAGAATCCATCTTGCACATTTATAAAACTACCATTGAATATTGCTCCTGGGAAGAGTACACAGATACTACACTGATCAGAGGGAGAGGGTTGGAGAGCAACACTTTGATCCTAGGAAGAATGTACAGATACTACACTGATCCTAGGCAGAGGGTTGAAGAACAACAGATACTATATTCACTGATCATTGACAGAAATACCAGTTCATACAAAAATAATCCCGTTATTTGATGGGTATTATGCATATTTATAGATTTAAAAATTCACATGAGAAAGCCTAATAATAATAATAAGCCCGTGTATAATGGCATAAATAAATTATTCACTAATAATAAACCTCCATTCTATCATCACTGTTCAGTTACTTATATAATAAGTGATTGATGAACCAATCCCAACATGTCAGGGAACTTACAGATACTTTTTTGTTTTTTCAATTATTCAGCCTACTCTTAGATTGATGTCAACTTGTGTTTATAATTTACATTCCTTTTTTTTCTTTAATCATTTCACCACAAACAATACAATAAAGTCACTAAGACAAAAGAGTATACTGAGAGTGAAAGAAACAGGACAATAAAAGAACAATATTCAAGGAGACAGAAGATAATGATTGACATAGCATTTAAATTTTTAAAGGTCATAGTTGACAGGAAAGCAAGAAGCCAGAAGAGTTCCACAAGCGAGAAGTGCGAAAGAAGAAACTATTAACATAGAACTTTTCTATCTTTTTTTGTAATCTTGTCAATTTCATTTATATTCTTTTTCTTTCCATCACTTTTGTTAGTAGATATCCCACACTGTGATAATAAAATAATTTTATAAAACAATACATCAAATGCATTAGTTGTCCATCATAATGAGACTGACCACAATTTGGACATAAAAAATGCTACTCTGATCAAAAGAGAAAACAATTCACTATGATGAAAATGTCTAGAGAGTGCCTTCATCATAAGGTCCATCTAAAGTAAATTTACGCCCTGGTTCTTACAACATTTCACCATTCCTACCAGAACTTTTATTATTTTCAACCTTACTTCATAACACTGTTTTAATTGAGGTGTGTAATTTTGTCATGAAAACTAAAATGTTTTTCTTATTTTTGATTTCATAGAGATTTTTGTAAGTTGTGTGTGTTGCTACACTTTCTCCATTTTATAATTTGTGAAGAGATTTGTGCTTGTAGCAAAAAAAAGCACAAAAGTTGTCCTTTACAAATACTATTATCTGCAAAAAGGTTAAAAATTACATTATTTTGATATTTTTTTTATTCATTTAATGAATAAGATTACAGCACAGAATATTTTAATCTGTGTTTGATTTCTAAATGACTGAAAATGAAATTTGTTGCAACATCCTCTCCCTTTACAAGAGCTAGATCAGGCCAAAAATGGAGTACTGTTGTCATATTTGGGCAGGATCTACCCAGTCCTCACTTTCCAGTCTTGATAGAGTTCAAAAGCATCTTCGAGTCTTTGTTGGAGAAGAATTATTTTCCACCCTGTAAACTCTCTCTCCCAGGGAGGATGTGGGAAGTCTCTCATTTCTCTATCGCTACTTCATGGAAACTGCTCAGATGAACTGCATTCCTTGGTTCCGCCAATTCTAATCTTCATGGCTAGGACCCACCATGCCACTTACATAGTAGTAAACCACTCACATTCCCTCTGTTTTCCATTGACAAGAAGTAAGTTCTACTCAAACAGATTCTTCCCATGAACCACTGCTCTGTGGAACAGTCTCCCAAGAAGATGTTTCTCCAATCATTACAATCTTAACGTGTTCAAGTCTAGAGTTAATAGTTATCTTCCCCTCCTATCCATATAAACTACTCCTTAATGTAAATTTCTACCTGGAGTGGCTCCTGGGCCTTGTACAGAGTAAACCTTACTGTAAAAAAAAATTCTAACTTGTAATTTAATTGTATTTAAACATTGCAAAAAAGTAAGGCTATGTCAAATGTTATTTTACGATGTTTGTAAATTTGCTTAAGCATTGTATTTGTATTTTTGTATTGTATTTTTCTTCTTTTCAGGTAGCTCTTCAGACCAAAAAAAAGTTCGCTGCAAAAGACACTGTATGCAGGATCGAGAAATCTTTGACACGGGTAATAAATTTATGATATACCTATTTTTCTTTTTACACTATTTACATTGTTCAGGCTATTGTCCTCAATTTTGTTGCCATATTTGTGATGTTTCAGCTGTTGTATGCTCTGGCCTTCTTTAGGTGATTGAAACTTCAAACTGAACACTTTATTTCATCCACCGGGGTAGAGTCAAGGCACGTGGAGCTGGAACAACACACCCCAGTGGACGAGATAAAGTCTTCACTTCAAAATTCCAATCATCTGAAAAAGGCCTGAGCATACAATTGCTGAAATGTTGTGAATATGGCAACAAAGATGAGGACAACAGTCCAAACAATGTAAATCGTGTAAATAACTATTTTTGTACAAAGTTGAAAATATAAGTAACACTGGTAATGCAAATTGCATGTTAGATTAATACTAGTTGTATCACAGATAGGATTTATTTAATAAATACCTTAAAATTTTCATTCTCTCCCCTGATTACATACAAAATGACACAGCAAATACAAAATGCATATATAGAAAATAAGCAGGTGCCAACAATTTTAAAGTACAATTAGTATGTGCAAATATATAGCAAATATGAATTCAAAAAGTTGATCATTTAATATTTATCTATGAAAATTTATGCACAATATAATCTTCAAAAAGATACCAAGAGAGTACAAAGTGTATATTTTGGTTGCCCTCACAAAAGTATTTTTAACAGCCCACACTAAGTCTATGATAATAAATCCAGACAGATAAAACTTGGTGTAACATTATTTTTAACTTATTTAGAGTTTGAGAATGCTTCTATTTGGTTGGTAAATTATTTTTTAGTTTACCACTATAAAATTGTTCTTCCAATTAGAAAATATCATTGTATAACTTTTATGTCATCCAATCTAAGTTGGGAAAATCTTTCATAGGGAAGGTAATAACTAAATAAATCATAGTAACATTAATGATTAAAAGTAAAATTTGATCACTAACCTATGAATTAAGCAAATCTTCTATGCAAAGAACTGTTTGGAAAACTCTATCTTATTTTATTTATTTTTGCGATTGTTCTCACAATATAAGGCTCAAGAGCCGCTCAAGACAGGGTTACTGAATTAAATTGTTGTGAGGGTGCAAAGAAGAGATGCATATTATAAGAATATGTAGTATAATGGGAGACAGCTATAGAAGAAAGGTTCATTCTCCCATTTGTATTTCCCATGCATTATTATATTCATGATGTAATAACACCGTAGTTTGCTGACGGAACGGAATAGTTAAAAGAAAAAATGAATGACAAACACATATTATTCTCAGAGAGACTTTTACACCAAGACATACACAAATCTATATATATATATATATATATATATATATATATATATATATATATATATATATATATATATGTCCCATGAGAGAAAAATATACCACATATATCTACATGGCAAAGCAGAGTGTAAGGAGAAACAGAAAGGAAGGGTTTTATATATAATATGGAAATTCTTCTATTTCTGGAGAAGTCATGTTAGGACTTCAGATTAAAATGGGCCACATTCATTTGCTATATCCCAGGCGGGGGACATATTCCATGAATAGTTGAATAAAGCATTAAGAGATAGGAAAATTTTGTTAGAAAGAAAGAAGAGTGCTGAAATGTTATGTAATATCTATCCACCTATATGGCAGTGAATGCTGGACAATTTCTTCACAGATGAAAATAAGATTTGAAGTAAATGAGACATTCTACAAATGGCTGCTAAGAATACCATGGACAGAGCATGTGAGCAATGAGGAAGTTTTAAGGAAAATGATAGTTTATACTTGAAATCAGGAAGAGCCACTTGAAATTTCTAGAACACATAAAGAAAATATGCTTACAGAGTTTGATAACATAAGACATAATGAAGTCAAGATTTGTAGAGGGAAACAGTGAATAAAATACCTAGCAAGTTTATGTAAATTAATGGCAGATCAAGCACTGGGATGGGGTGGTAAGGAGACAAATATTGTTTTGAGCTACAAAGAACAGGAAGCAGAGGAGAGCCATGATTGCCCATATCTTGTGAAGATAGAGCACATAAAAGAAAAAGAACCAATGAATTTTGTATTTTTTTATTTAAACTTTGGATTAACATGTTTTGGTGCTTAGTATGTATGCTATGTTATGTATTAAAAATCAGGGAAAAAATTTATCAGTACACAGGGATTAATTCAAGTGCTACTGACAAAATAAAGTTAATATTACATTAAGGTATTAAAGTATTATTAATATTAAAGTATATTAATATTATAGTAAGGTTTATTAACGTTAATATGATAAGGAATTGTGAATGACATTACAATAGCAATGTATAAAAAGTAACAAAGCAATCATAACTGACAAAATTAGCTATTGCATTTAAATATTAAATAGATATAAAAATGTTAATTGTGCTTAGTTTAAATTATCCTATTTTAGAAATTTGAAAGTAAAAGTGTCATAAACTATACTTATCAGTTTGATAAAATAATAAAAAGACACCTTATCAAGTTACCACTTGTTTTTATTTCATTGCCTATAAAGGATTTCTAACACATGCCTCAGATCCATAAGAATTTTGAGGAAGAAGGCAAAAAATGGATAGTGTATAAAAATATATATAACTGCATTTTTAACTGAAGGTAACTAAAGTTGGAAGACTGTTCTTGTTTGTACCAAGAATGAAGCATTATATTTATTATGAAGTACAAGAAACTAAAGGTTAATCTAATAAATCATACATATAATAGTAGATTAATAATCTGTTGTCTAACAAATATGAGGGGTGCTGAAAAATTTTCCAGTCTGATCCTCTTCCTCAAGTGACCAAGCATCAGAATTTTGTTTAGAGGTCTTCTTGGTTATATTAAGAACTTTTTAGCACCTCCCTTGCAAAAATTATACAATGAAAATTTCTGATTAAAATTCACATAATTATTATTATGTGAATTTTAGTATTACTATTGGAAATTTTCACTGTATAATTTTTCATCAATGTCATTAATATCCACCCCAAAATGAAGTGCATTAACAAGTAAGGTGATTATCATTATTATATGCTTTGCTATTCAGGCCAGCATATTCATGTTGCTTGTTATATTCACAATGTTTCAGCTGTTGTACTTCTAGCCTTCTTCAGGTGTTTGTCTTCATAGTGCTGTAAAGTCACATGCTCTGCTTCATTGGAAGAAACAGACAAGCAACACACAGGTGAATAATAAGACAGGGAAATATTAACTGAAATGAAATATTCCTTAAGCAGGGAAAGTGGGTTTAGAACAATCCACTCCTGTGGGTTCAATATAGAATTCTGTTCAAGATTCTAAGAAGGTAACCAATTATGACAAAAGACAACTGAAGAAAGCCAAAACATTGTCAGTATAACAACCAAGAGGAGCATACTTGTCCAAATAGCAAAGCATATAACAATGATAATTTCCTATCTCAAAGATTCTGATAAAAACTAACACTATCAAACCCTGGGATTGAACTCATAACTGTCAGGGAAGCCTAGTGCATTAAAGTAGTAGTTAAAACCTGTTTATTTCCCTGACAGTTGTGAATTCAATCCCTGAGTTTAGTAGAGATGAAAAGTCACATATCTGTATTCAGTGAATAAAACTTGTGATTATTATGAAATATATCCAAAACATGGAATGTGAAAGGAGAACAATCTACTCCTGTGGATTGAATAAAGGGTTCTGTGGAGTGAGTATCCATGGTTAAATGCAAAATAAGTGACAGAACTGTCCAACAAACAGAATTATGAAAGTTTCTAATAAGCAATTACAAGAAAAATAAAAGATCAGAGCAAAAACTAATATAAAACAAGCAAACAGTATATGCAAGGCAAATTAACAGTAATATGACAAAAAGTTCACAAACTAAAAATTGGAGTTGACATACAAAAGCAAGTTTGAACAAGCGAACATAGCATTCTGACTTCAAGACAAGAAAGACTGGGACTGAGTCAAATGAAACTGAGAACAGTCTTATTTTATTGGCTAAGAAAAAATGCCAGTATACATTTGTGTGCTTCTATCTATAAATTAAGGAGGGGCAAGTGTTTTGCAGTCATTACTATCCAGGATTGGAATCATCAGGTTCAGTTACAAATTCCAAGATTAACAAATATAAAGGCAGACAATTGAATAAGGCTAGAAGGTACAATGACTGAAATGTTGTAAGTATAATACACAAGATGAGTATGTTTATTCAAATAGCAAAGCCTATCTGTTATTTACACTATTTATATTAGGACTATTGTCTTCATCTTTGTTGTTTTTTATCACAACATTTTGACCATTGTGCTCTCTGGCATTCCTCAGATGTATATAGATCTGGGTAATCTACAGGGAATTTTGAACTGAACCCGTTATTTAATCTATGGTATTGTTCTCATTCCACTGCTTATGTCTAGGGATATTATCTAGTTCTTATGTTATTTAATACTGTTCAGTTATTGCTCACCTATTTCCACTGAGTACAAGCACACACTGCCTAACACAGGGATTGAACTTACAACTACTATGTCATCAAATTCACAAACTAACACTTTTACCCACAATGGCCAAAATGTGATAAAAACAACAAAGATGACAATAGTCTGTATATAAATAGTGTAAATAATAACTCCTTATCCCAGAAATTCAGTGATAACAACAACAAAGATGAGGACAATAGTCTGAATGTAAATAGTGTAAATAATGATAACTCCCCATGCCTGAAATTCAGTGATAACAACAACAAAGATGAGGACAATAGTCTGAATGTAAATAGTGATGATAACTCCTCATCCCAGAAATTCAGTGATAACGACAACAAAGATGAGGACAATAGTCTGAATGTAAATAGTGTAAATAATGATAACTCCTCATCCCAGAAATTCAGTGATAACAACAACAAAGATAAGGATAATAGTCCAAATGTAAATAGTGTAAATAATGATAACTCCTCATCCCAGAAATTCAGTGATAACAACAACAAAGATAAGGATGATAGTCCGAATGTAAATAGTGTAAATAATGATAATTCCTCATCCCAGAAATTCAGTGATAACAACAACAAAGATGAGGACAATAGTCTGAATATAAATAGTGTAAATAATGATAACTCCTCATTCCAGAAATTCAGTGATAACAACAACAATGTTGAGGACAATAGTCTGAATGTAAATAGTGTAAATAATGATAACTCCTCATCCCAGAAATTCAGTGATAACAAACAACAAAGATGAGGACAACAGTCCGAATGTAAATAGTGTAAATAATGATAACTCCGCATCCCAGAAATTCAGTGATAACAAACAACAAAGATGAGGACAACAGTCTGAATGTAAATAGTGTAAATAATGATAACTCATCACGCAAAAATTAAATATTATTTGTTTAAACAAAATGTTTTTCATCAATCAACTATGAACTTATTGATTTACTTCTATTTGTTATTTAACTCTGTCAACCCATGCTGTGACTGTATTCCTCTTGTTTATAATTAAAAGATAAATGTAAAAATGGAAATCTACTTATCGCATAAACAAGTATTTATTTTATTTGTTAGAAAGAAAAGGAATGAAGATCAATTGGGATACTGAAGAAAAGAATGTAATTCCTTTTGATAATTTAAGCCAAGATTTAAAAACACAAGCAAACACTCAAAATCTTAGCCATCTATCATTATCTTTATTTGTCTGAGCCTCTTGATAAGCAAGATTCACCTAGATCCTCTTGGGTACTCAGGTTAGTGTCTACTTGTTAAAAGTTCTCCTTTTACCTTTCAACTCTTGTCCTATTCTGCCCTTAGCTTTTCTCATTTGCTTATAATATTTTTCTCTGTTTTTCTCATTTTGTCAGTTTCACTAACAAAAAAAAAGTTATATAGTCTAATTATATTCCTGTCAGAAATGCTGCCAAGAAGATGGCATTTCTGCTAGCAGACAGTGTTGCTGAAACTAATAACATAGCATTTATCCATGTAGTATTTGTTTACCCTTTCTGGAACAACTATTTGTATATGAATTGGATATCTAATGGTAAAAATCCAAGTATCCTGGACTTTTTATTAAAAATAGAATAAAAACATATTGGATGACCTATGATAACATAGAGGATTATTTTAGTTTATCTCCTGTTATTGCTTGGAATTGAAAATCGGATAGTTGAGTTCCAATCACAGTTGGGATCATTATATTCATTTACAAGCAAATACTTTCTGGAAAGGTATAAAACCTCCTCTTCTTTCCCCCAGCTATGGGTTAATTAGTAGGACTTGTATCAGTAAATCATTATTATCAACTCAAAAATTATTACATTTTAAAAAATATTTTCTGGCTTTAAATAACCTGCAAAAGTTTTATAAGGTGTAAAATACCTAACTCAGTCAATAAAAATCTTTTATTATTGAAATTAATTTACTGAGATGTGTAAACATGTTATTTTTAAAAAGTACTTTTATTTTTAAATTACTATATCATATGACATTTACGATCTACTTTTTTTTCTTCATAAATTTGGAGTAAATATCTGAAAAGAAGCTTGTTTTGAACCTGGACAAATAGGGAACATGAATGAAGTTCCAATCATATTGAATGTGCCATAAAATGAGGATTGTTTTTATACTTGTGTTTTATATAAGCTATCAAATATGGCATGCTCATGAAAAATACTTCAGGAATTTGAATGCCACTGACAAGTTAATATTTAGTTTTGCTATTTTTATTTAGCGGTATATCAACTTCTATGGATTATTTAATGGCAAAATCTAAATATTTTGTACACAATTTTATATCATTTTTGGAGATAATAATAATTTAGTGATACAAGTCTTACTAATTAACCTTTAGCTGGGGGGAGAAGATTTGGATTCATACTTTTCCCAATGCATAAGTGAATATAATGAACCCAACTGGAATTGGAACTCAGCTCTCTGATTAAATAATTCCAAGCCATTATTCATTACACTGCTTGCACATGCAAGCTAACAGCACCTGGTATTCCCAAGTGGTCAACCATTTAAGTACTGACCAAGCTCACTGTTGCATAATTTTGGTGATCATACAGGAACCAATGTTTCAACATGATGTGGCCATAGGCTTCAGTTTTGTGTAGCACCAGTCAGATTCTAACTAAATTTCCAAATCAAAAAGTTGTCTGTAGGAAGAGCACATGGCCCTAGATACATATTTTTAAAAAGTCTACAATGAATCAAATTATGTTTAAAATAAGGTTTAATGACATCTGTAATCTGGACAAACTAGTCTAAAAATATTATCAGGATATTTGGTTAAGTAGATGTTTATTTTGTATTGCTACAAGATACAAAACTTGGCATGATCTCAAGCTGTTTGTTACTACCTGAAGCACATTGATTAAACTATAAACATCAAAGAATCCTATATTCTTTTCCTTTAAGAAAGAGGTGCAGTCTGAATGTCACCTCCTCATTGTTCAGTTTTTTTATTATAAGCAAAAATGTTACTTCTTGTGTCAAGTTCAGTTTGCTTTATAACAGAAAGAAAAGATAACATTAAATGCTTACTCAAATACTCAAGACATTAAAAATCTATTCTTCTTAATATCCCATGTTGATATGGCTTCCAATGGGGTTGGCTTATATGCCATCAAATATAGTAACTTAAGTCACAGTGAGTTTGAAAAAAAAAATGTTAGGCTGTTTTAATGTTCTTTTTTCTTTTCTTTCTGTTATAAAGTTTAACTTTTTTTTCAAACTCACTGTGACTTAAGTTACTATATTTGATGGCATATAAGCCATAAGAAACCATAAGCCAACCCCTGTTAAAGGAATATTAAGAAAAATATATTTTCAATATCTTGAGTAACCATTTAATGTTATTGAAATCTGTTGCTTCCAGTATAGCAGAAAAAAAAACATGACACTTTTGTTTGTATAACCAGTTTTTTTTTAGTAGCCATCTTTTGTATCTAAAATAGTCTCAGAATAACAATAATTTATTTTTATTTTTCTTTTGATGAGCCAAGTTATATATATTTGAGTAAATAAACTCCAAACTTCATCATAGAAATTAGACACCTGAGTAAAAAAAAAAGCTATGAAATATGTATAAAACTTAATCTTATGATCAGTTTTTTCTGCTGATGGAAAGCATAAAGAATTGAAAAAATTCTGATATAAATATTATCTCTATGTTAAGTAGAACCAAATATATTTGCATTTAAAAATATTGTTTACTTTGTTGTCATAAAATTTGTCATAAATGTTTACTGTTGTTATAAAATATTGTCTTTTTTAGGGTTGTAAAAATAAAGTTTTAAAACTTCCCATTTTAATAAAAACTTTTTCATTTATGTAAAAGAGAATAATATTTTAAAACATCTCTCTTCAAAATTTTTGAGACATTTTTTTTCATGCAATTCTACCCCCTCTTTTTTAATTTGATTATTTTCAATTGTGTATTGAGGTGTAAAAAAAAGTCCTGAAGAAATATGTGAATCTAGATAAAACTTACTTTTTGGTATCTTGTAAGGTTTAGGCTGCTAGTTCAAAGTTCCTTGAAGTTTACCTGGACCACCTGAAATTTGATAACAACAAAGATGAGGAAAAAAGTCCACATGTAATTAATTAGATTAAAGAATTCGGAAAATGATATACAATAGATAGTTTTAAAGATATCTTTAAAAAAAAAAAGTAGGTTTTATACGTTAACAAATACTGTAAGTACAGAAGATATGGAGACATGAAATATGAATTTGCAATTTAATGTTTTTGATTTTTACTTAATTTTGTCATTAAATTTGATGGAATAGTATTATTTATATTAGTATAGATTTTCAATGAGATTGTCTTCACATTAACATTTGTTTCTTTTGTATCTCAACAAAATTTTAGGAAAAATTAGATGGGTTTGTTTCACAGCAAAATATGCTAATGGGTCATTTAATTTAAAAATTTCATGGGAGCATTAGTAATTTTATTTACAAAATGTATTGTAATTCTTCTTTTTTCAAAAGTATAATTTTTACTATGAAATTGTATTTCTATAAAACTTTTTGGCATTTATGGACCTAGGAACACAATTAAGATGTAGTTTATTGTCATAACCAGGATGGTAAACTAGATGTTGTAACTAATGTAATATTAAAACTTCACTGAAATCTTAGATGACTTGTGAAAAAAAAATTGATAAAAAGAGTGCCATTTTGAATGCTGTTTTTCCAAGAGAAAAGAGTCTCCAAAAATATTAAATTATTTAGTAATATATATCTATTATTAATTTTTAAACTTTCTATTTTAATTGCCTTTTTCTTCAGAATACAACAATTATGAATGGATTCGTACTTGTTACTAAGATAAACTTTTTGATAATGCAAAACAATTTTTTTACTATATTGATGTACTGTTATGAAAAAAAAAAGGTTGTTAAATATATGTTCTAAAACATATTAATGAGGTTTTAACCCCTTCCTTGTAGACATGTATATACATTTTTACCGAAAGTATCTTTTTCAGACATGGATGAATAAACACATCCAAAACATAATGTTCAAAAACCATCTACAGACATGTTTATACATCAATCCTGATCCTTTTTATACCCTTCTGAGCTTGAAACAAGTCCAATTGTCAACTCATATGTCTCATAGAGGTGTTAGCCATGACTCAGGTACTTCAAAGTGTCTCAGTTTCTTAGTTACTATATTAAAAACAAATAAAAAAATTTGTTTGAAAATGAAATGTTTTTCCAAATGAGTGGAAGTAGTTAAATATGGTAATGTTTCAAATTGAAATTCAGCTGAAAAGACATGAATCCATCTTTTCTAATAGCCATTAGTAAAATAGTAAGACTTTAATCTTAGTAGATGAACTTATTGTAATGTTATATATATTAGTGGTAGATACTTTAGTAAGTATTCACACAAACTGAATATGGACCTTGTCTAGTGGAGACTTTTTAGTTTTCACTTTTCACATATTGAAATTAGACTACCATTACACAATTAGTCTAGGGGAACAACAACTCTGAATTCAAAAATCATATATAAAGTAGCAGAAAAATATTTATTGCAATAAAATTACACCAAAAGGTTGTCATCTTCACAATCACTGACTTGATTGCACAAACATTTTTTCTAGCACGAAAACTTTGCATTAATGCTTCGCAATCATACTACAGACACCATTATATTGCATTTTCTATATGAAATCTCACCTAGATTGATATGTACAGTTTTGTAGGAGATAAAAACAATCACAGCATTAAAATTTTTCCACTGAAAACTACAATGAAAATAGATATTTACAAAACCAAGGAAAAATAGTATTAGCATTAGAAACCTCCAGAAGGTAGCAGAAAACTACACCACTACTTTCCTAAGTATGTCTATAGCAATGCACAGTTCCATCATTGTCGTTATCATTATCATCAGTCCTATGAACAGGTGAGAGTAGCTTAGCACCTGACCAGCTCCCTTCACATGTCTAGGTTGCATGTCAATGTCTGGATCTCTGCAAGGATCATCTGACTTATTCAGAGATATCAACCCATTATCTGCCTCTTCTGTTGCTTAAGGTGATACCTTGTAGGATGGTAACAGAAAGATTGATGGCTCTTACAACATGAATATACCATTTCAACTTCATATTCTTGACAGTGTTTATGAGGTCATAATGCCCATTTTATATACATTAAAAAATGAAGTTGTGGAGGGTCATATTTGCCTACATACTGGATGGATATGGCTTAAAAAATGTAATTTTCTTTTTATTCATCCATCTATATTTTTGGGACTATTTAAATTTGTTTTAAACAATAAAAAATAGCCATGAAATAAATTTATAAGGAATTAATATTTGATTACCAAGCAAAAAGAATGATATTTATTCAGCTCATCTCAAAAACATTAAAATGGTAACAAAATTAACCCCTCTCACCTGCTTAGTAAATAATTGACATTTGATTACCAGTCTACTTTCAGAGTTACTTTCCTCTGTCATGTCTTGAAATTATCTTATAGACAGGATATTCATTTTTCTCTTGTTGAATTAATCCCTGTAAATTTTATGGCAAAGAATTGTTTACATAGAATAAAAGCATGTAAGCTTTTCTATAAATCACTTTGAGGGACAATAGCCAAAATATAATTTTGTAAATATTAGTGTTCATTATTTGTATGCATAATTTAATGGTATAATCTGCTTTTGCTGCAGGTACCTGGGTACAGTGTACTAACAGTGAGTGTCTGAAATGGCGATTCCTTCATGATGTTCAAGATCCCATCACAGTTCCAATGTTATGGACATGTGATATGAACTCAGGTAATAACAGTATTTCCTTCGTTAATTCTCATGGAATGACTGAAGATTTTATTATTGTATTATTTGGTATAAAATCTTACTTTCTCATTGTGATAAAAAGTTTGATACAAAACCAATGAAATAATGGATGCACTTTGAAAAACCAAGATGATTGGAAGCTTGCAGCTGCTCTAACCTCTGACCTAGCCCTAACAGCTCAATGAGGAAAAAATGGCTTGTAACTTTCAGTACCTCAAAATCCAAGCTAGTATCATCCAGACCTCAATTGGAACTCATCTATATAATGCATTTCTAGAAAAAGCTGGAAAAATGGCTGGCTCATTATATCACTGCAAGAAGTACCTAACTACTTCTGCTATGCTTTATCTTTACAAGAGTCAGATTAGGCCAAAAATGGAGTCAAAATTTCTGTCACTCTCCTGCCTTTATAGAGTTCAACATTGTTTCCATAGTTTTGTGAGGGGATGACACTTTCTTTCTGCAACATCTTTCTTATAGACCCAATATTGTAAGTTAAGTGTAAACTGACAAAATTCACAACAGGCAAAATTGACAAAGTTCTCAATAAACAATAATAAAAGAAAGAAGAAAAAAAAGGGCAAAATGGCTCTGCTCTGTTGCTATTTCTATGGCAAATGTTTAGATACACTCCATTCTTCAGTTCCACCAGTTCAGACCTACTCTGCTAGGACACAACATGCTACTTCCACTGAATTAAATCATTCTTATTTCCTCAGTGTTCAAAACAGAAGTAAGAAGTACCACGTGAATATTTTTTCCCTAAGAACTGTTATTTTGTGAAACAGACTCCCTTATGGGTGCTTCCTTGAATACTTTAATCTTGACCTCTTCAAGTCAAGGGTCAATTGGCATCTTTCTTCCTTATCTTCATAATCTGCACTTCCTGTCACCTTCTCTTCTATTCAAATCAAACACTTCATTCATCATTGCCACTTCTATTATAACCCTCTACCGTGCCTGGCTCTCGAGCTTTGTATCTGGTGAAATTTAGTAAAAAAAAATAATTAAAATATTTCATATTCATGTGCCAGTGATCTTCTCTCTTAGTCGTAGAACTGTTGAAATATCTGGAATATAAGTGTAAAGAAACTACCATAGCCACAAAGTGAGGGATTAGTTTATATATTGATTTTAAAATAGGATTGATCCCTCACATTATATCTGCATTATAATTTACTGATAAAATTCTGATTAGGTATGAAAAAACAAAAAATGAAGAAATTAATAAAATACTTCATATTCATGCCCTAGTGATCGTCTATCTTAGTGGTAGGACCGTCAAAATATAATTTAGACTTCTTTTGTTATGACTACAAGTTCTCACTTTAAAATATTAGCTGGAGAAAGAATGAATGTCTGAACAAAGGATTAAGTTTCTTCTTATGTTAAACAAAGAACTGATTTCCTTTGACCACCTATGATTGCCCATCGCATCCTCTTTCTGCTGTTGTTCCTTCTGCTACCACTGAACACTGTGGTTCATTGGTCACTTTTTATGTTTTCATGATTGAAGCCACCTAATCCTAAAGTATATTTAAATCATCTAATTTTATTACGTCCCTTGCCTTTATTTCACCACAACGTTAACATTGACATGTACTTCCATGATCTTCTGTGATTTTATTTATTTTTTAATCATTTCACTCCCATGCAAGGTGATAAAGCCACTAAGATGCAAAGGGTTGCTGAGAGTGAAAGAAACAATAAAAGAAGAGGATTCAAGGAGACAATTGATGTTACATTTAAAGTTTTGACAGGAAAGCAAGAAGCTGGAAGAGTGTTCCACAAACGAGAAGTGTGAGAGAAGAAACTATTGGTATAGAATTTACAGTTACATCTGGCAATTTCAGCAGTGAAATTATGAAACCAAGCTGCCAATTGTATTGCACTTAAATTAAAGTATCAATGAATAAAGCTCATTGGAACAATTGCCATGGAAATATTTATAGAAAAGGCAAAAAAATACTATTAAATATATAACAAATTTTGAGTTTTTTCGGTCAGAAATTATAACATTTAATGTCTATAGTAAAAATAGTTATTTTTATGAAATGATTCAATTGATTTTAATGTCATTAAGGTTCTGGTCAGACTTCTAAAGCAATATTTAAATACAGTAAATTCGACCTTGCTAACCAAACGCTCCTCTGTGGCCAAATCGGTAAAGGCACGTCAAGCTAATTGACGGTTCCGTATAGGATACAGGTTTGAATCCTGTCGGAGGACAAATATTTTCTGTGAAAATTTCTCGGACATTCAGGCCGGTAAATGTTGTTTAATACTGTTTATTATAAACAGTGCATTTTCTTAAATATTTGTATTTATAAAAGAATGTATAAACATAAAATGTCTTAAAATAATTTCAGACTTTGTCCATTTCATAGACTTTGTATATTTATATATATATATATATATATATATATATATATATATACACACTAAAAAAACATTTGTATAACCAACAGACAACTTGCCAAAAGACCTAAGAATATATAATTTTTTTATATAGTTTCAATTCTTGCTGAGAAGTACATTTTCTTTAATAGTTTTTTGATTGATAGGCTGGTAGAAATTGATTTTAATGTTTAAAAGTAAGTATATTCATGGCAATTTTTCTTCATATTCTTCAAAGTTGATTATTGCCCACCTTGCTAAAAAAAGCTTTTAAAAAATTAATGAAATTGCTTCAAGTCTTTCTAGATATTAACCCTATAGAAAATATGTTGTTTTTCATTGAAAGAAATGAATGCAATATTCAAGCCACGATCTCTGGAAAGCAATAAAACCTGCTGTTATGTTAAAGTTGAAAAAGTAGAAAAGTTAATAAAATTAATGTTGTAGTTTATAGAATGTCAAGCATCCCATAATATATAAAATAATTATTTATTCAGGTATATGGGATATTGAGTTAATCAAATATGTTTCTTTGACCTATATGTTTTGGATTTATTTATAAATAAAAATTTAGGTTTTACTTAGTTTGTTTACACAACAAAGCCTGACAAGTTATTATCTGCTGGTATGGTGATTGTCTAATAAAATTATATCTAAAGATTCAACTCTTAAGATCTCTTGTCATTTTCAGGTTATATGTCATAGGATAAAATTTTCTAATGCTTCTGCGATGTAACTTCACCTGATTAAAATTCTTGAAAGCATACATATGGTTTATTTATTTCATGTGTGTGGAAAAATAACTAGTCTTCCTTAAGGAATGAGAAACAGATGGTTTAATCTGCAAAAATAAATCCATTTTTTTTTCTTTTTCAATTATTTTAACCTTACAATTAAAGAAGTTAGATACAAGCTGCAAAACTGATTAATTTGTAGGTTTTATGCAGTTTTATTTTTCTTAAGTTTTGTACTTTATATGAATGTTCAGTGAAAAGGAGGGAGAGGTAAAAATAACCAAAATTCAGAAATTAGTCTCCAATTCGTTCTTAATTTTATTAACCACTCAATTAAACTTAAAATAATAACTGAATTTCTTATTAGCCTTAAATATTGAAGCTAGAATGAGTAAATCTTCAATTCGTTAATAGAACAGTTGCAGATCAAGGATTCTGAAAAATTGTAATAAGGGCAATGAATTCAATCTATCCATCCATCTACCCTTGGTCCAATGCTTGTTGGTGTCAAGTCTGGATAATTGCTCTCTCGTAGGATTATCTATAGTTGTTGAAATATATTATGTTTTTGTTTTACAAACATAGTATTTGCATTGCCATATTTAACCATTTTTGTAGTTTCAGGAGTTTTGAATTCAAAGTTATCCTCCTCCTAGACTGGTTACCAACCATGCTCTAGAATAAGAACGAAATTACAAAAATAATTTTATATTTACAATATTCTAAAAACTAATTATAATTAGAACTAATGCAGTGCAATATTTATCATCTACCAATTTTATAAAGAAATAAATATGAAAACATTTTTTATTCATAAATCTCTAAGTGTTTACTAAATTATTAAAATGTATAAGGAAATCCTTATTATTTACCATTTTATAAAGTTCAAATCAATTGGCAATTAGCTAATGTTTGCAACCATTCCAATAAACAATCTAATAAATAAATAGTGTTTATTATTTTTGTTGTCAATTCTCAAGAACAAAGAAAATGTATAAATTGACTTTCATCATATGTTTAGGTTTTATTAAAATTCTAATCATCACTTTTTAAAAAAATAAACATTGTGAAGGTAGTTAAAATAATAGCAGTGTTAAGGGAAAAACCATCCTTTTGACAAACAGTTTTTTTTGCTGGCATGAAGGTTAAAAATTGCTCATTTTTTTAAATTACACATCACATCAATATTACACCAGGTTTTGTGATTTTCAATGATTTTTTTTTTACAGTGAGGGGCCAATCAAGGTAGAGGGTTACTGAGTAAGAAGCACATTTTATGCAGATAGGTGGGGAAGATAATGGTTAACCCTAGATTTGAACAGGTTAAGATTGTAGTGATCAGGAAAACATCCTCTTGGGAGTCAGTTCCATAGAGCAGTGGTTTTGCAGGAAGACACTGCTCAAGTGGAACTTACTTCCCACCAAAGGAATACAAATGGAATGAGGATGGTTTGCTACAATCTGAGTGGAATGGTGGGTCCTAGCTATGAAGGTTCTAACTGGTAGAATCAAGGAATGCATATCATCCAAGCACTTTCCACAGAAGTAGCGATTGAGCAGTGAGAGGCTTACCACATCCCATTTGTAAGAGAGAGGTTGCAGGGAGGAAAATAATTTGTCACCCACAAGGACACAGAGATGCTTTTGAACTCTATCGAGACTGGAAAGTGAGGACTGGGCAGCTCCTGCCCAAATATAACAGCAGCACTCCCTTTTAGGCCTGGTCTTGTAAAGGTAAAGGATAGCACAAAGAGTTTGGTACTTACTGGAGCAATACTGAGAACTGACCATTTTTCCTGCATCCTTAGTGATGGATCATATATACAAGTTCTACGAGGTGTGAGGTGAGTTTAAGGCTCAATAGACAAGTATGAGGCTTCCTTGAGGGGACATCTATTCATTGTGACTGGTGGTAGTTCATGATTTGATCAGTGATGATGGAATGTAACTTGTTCATTTTTGAGACATTGAATGTAACCATCCACTTATTCCCCACTGAGATGTTAGAGCTCGATCGAATGAGAGATCAACTGCCAATCTCCGGTCATCACTAGTTTTGGAGGTGCACACACATATTTTTGTATCATAGGCATAGATATTCACAAATGATCTGAGAATATCCTTAGGCAGATCATTTATGTAGATAAAAAGAGGGTTAGTCTGGGGGATGCCTGCATTGATTGCTAGGGCCCAAAGAAGTGGCCATTAATAACTACCTTCAGGGACATACCTGTTTGGAAGGATTTTTTATTGAAAAGACTCTTCCAGTGATTCCATAGGTAGGGAGTTTGAGCAGCAATCTTTTGTGCCACACCTTGTTAAAGGCTTTCTAAATATCTTGAGAGGTATTTTTTGTCTAGTGCCTCACAGATTCTGTGAGTGATGGTTGTTAAGACAGCAGAAGTGGATCGAGCCAATCAAAACCCATAATACTTGTCACTCAAGGGGCTTTTCTTATCATGGTGTTCAACAACCTTCTAGTTGATTATAGCCTCAAAGAGCTTACTAATGATACTGAACAGACTGATGGGTCTATACTGAGAGTGGAGGGTGAGTGCCCTGCCATGTGCTTGAAAACTGGGCATACACTCAACACTTTCCACAGGCTTGGGAAAGATTTCTACTTCAAATAGGGGTTAAACAACTTTGCTAGGATTAGGGATAGTTCCGGTTGCTCACATTTATTTACCATTTATATTGAATCAGTTTTGTGCTAAATATAAATGTGAGGAATTCGATCTTTATTGAATTCATTAGAGTCACTCTGTCATATTGGCGCTATTGGTATACAACTAATGATAAGCTGATGGTCTTGCACCTCTTTAAGTCCAAACAAAATTGCAAGAATGTACTTGAAATTCCTGCCATTGTCAGACAAGTTTATATGAGTAGCCACACATATCAATGGTGAACTCTGCATGTTATAATTTCTTATTTATTTATTTTTATTTTTTTTTATATATCTTATCCAAAAATTAATTTCTCACATAGTCTTAGATTTCAGTAGGAATGTAAATTGAAAACACAAGTTGATGTCAATCTAAGAGTAGATTGAATGCTTCAGGAAGCAAAAAAATGTGTCTGTAAGTTCCCTGACATGTTGGGATTCATCAATCACTTATTATATAAGTAACTGAACAGTGATGATAAAATAGAAGCTTATTATTATTGAATAATCTACTCATGCCATCAAACATGGCAACATATTTTAAGTCCTTATTATTTTTATGTTTTCATATGTAAGGTTTTTTAATCTATAAATATGCATAATACCCATAAAATGATAGGATTATTTATGTATGGAGCAGTACTTCTGTCAATGATCAGTGAGTGTAATATCTGTGCACTCTTCCTAGGATCAAAGTGTTGCTCTCCAATGCTCTACCTAGGATAGGTACATTCTTCCTAGGTTCAAAGTGTTGCTCCCAAACCCTCTGCCTAGGATCAGTGTAGTATCTGTGTACTTTGTTTAACTGTATTTTCAAGCTAATTTGATCATGCTGTTCAAATAGAAGTACACTGGCATAGTGAATATGTCACTTGCCTGTTTGTTTATCTCCAGAAGGCATGTTCAAATCAAGGTAGCATTCATTTGTTATTTTCTATATCTCTTTGCTTTATTAAAGTTAAAACCTACAGACAAAAAATTTACAAACATACAATGTGTTATAGATTAGAATTTACTTGATTTATTTGGTCAAAGTTATTTGGTAAGGCTTTGAAAAGAGTTAAGTTTGGTTGATAACACTTAATTTTCAATTGCTGAGTGTATTATTACAATCTGTTATTCTGCTTAAATTATACTTTAAGATACTTTTCAAACATAACAAATAAATATGTATTAACTGCACTGTTTGTTATAGAATCTTATAACATTAATTTATACATTAAATCTACACTTTTGATTCATTAAAACTTTGTTCTGTAGATACCAACCAGAATGACTGCTCTTACCCTGAGGCTTTACCTTCTAACAAGGATAATGAAGAATTCATCTACACAAAGTACACTGAAGGCACAGTTGTGTGGGCCAGAGTGGATGGATACCCTTGGTAAGTAATTGTCTAAATAAGTTATAAGACCCTATATTTTCAGAAGCAGTATCATCCATTGAAAGTTTTTATAACATTTATTTGGATCAAAACATGTCATAGTTGTAGTACCTTTTCAAATCTCAGCATTCAGGAGCATTGATAAATTCAACAGTCATTTTACCAGTAACAACATGTGTTGCAGATTTGAACCAACCCACAACAAAGAAAAAGGCAAGAAAGGTTTTTGAATATAAAAATACAAGATATTTTTATTTTTGTGTTGTTTTACAACTAAATCTTAGTGCGTATGCATGTTAAAGTTCTTACAGTTCTTGTTTGTAGTTTGTTAAAATGAAAAAAAAACTGAGATTGCTTTGCATGTATGTGCAAGAAAAAAGAGGCACAGGAGAAAGTGTGGAGGAAAGTGTAAGTGTCATGTAGCTTGGTGAGGAAGATGGGTGAATGAGTAAGGGAATTTCTTTTAAGCTATGCGCATTGTGAACTGTTGCCATATGTTGCCCTTCCTTCTCCTTATTCACTTGTCTGGTCTAGAAACTTTGCTTATATATCCTTCAAACAGATCACAAAGCATGTTTTTTATTGTCAGTGGGAACATGGCCATTGGTTGAAAAATGTTAACTATTTATTTTCAAAGCATTAATTTATTAACTGGAAGGATGTGCAAATCCTCCTACTCAGAAACTATTTTTTTGTCATTTGGTGTTTGACTGTCTTGCTGTTTATTTCCATCTTTGCTCCACAAATATTTTTTCTTTTTGACTACTGTTGTATACAGCCAAGAACAGTCTTATAATTTGAATATGATATGTTAGATGCAGGATATGTTATATGTGATATGTTATACGCAGGATATGTTATATATGATATGTTATATGCAGGATATGTCATATGTGATATGTTATATATGATATTTGAAGCTTTGATTTAAATCAAAATTTTTTAAATTTCTGTTAGAATCTATTGTCATTTAAAGCAAACAAATAAAAGATAATTAACATCAAGGGTCAATTGATGATGTATATGCAAGTTAAATAATCCCTAGAAGCAGTCTGAAAATTTTAATTAAATTAGAACTCAAAAAAAGTGATCCATGGTTTCAGATAAAAACATGGGTCCTGTGGTTTTTTTTACTTTCAATATAAATGTTCAAATCAATGGATATAAATAAAAAAATTAAAGGCCAATCAATCTCTAATCAAATTATATGCAAAATAAATATTGTAGTATTGATCTTGAAATTTTAATTAATGTTAATATTCAAAGTTTAATTTGTAAACAGTAACTTTCTTCATTGTGTAATCTTTATATATAACCTAATATGTGTGTTTAAGATTTTGCCCCAAGCTGTTAGACTTGTAAATTCACACACACACACACACACACACACACACACACACACACACACACACACACACGTTTTTAAAATAGCATATAGAATTCCTACAAAGTTTTTAAGAAATTTGACAAATGGAAAATGTTTCATTGAAAATAGATTTGAGTGAAACTAGATTTGATTAAACGTTTCACCATTCTAGACTTTATCAGATCCAAAAACAAAAGAAAGAAATGTATGTATGTGTATGTGTGTGTGTGTATGCTTAAATAATGAATCATAGTACTTTTTTCATAAGCTGGTGTTCCTCGTGAATAAAGAAAAAAGAAAATGAGTGACTTTAAAAAAAAAAAAGTTGTTAATATTTATTCTGTAGCTATTCTTTATAATTCTTAGCTCATGTCTAAAGTTGTTATATTTTTTCTCAGCTTTTTTGTATTGAATTAAAGGTAAATGCACATCTCATTTTCAGAATGACTCGAAAGCAAGAAAATTATATAAGCTTTTTCTGAAATGAATCCAAGGCAAATTCTCGTTCAATCCTTCAGAATGGGTTGAAAATAAAAGATTTATATGTTTTTAGGTCTATTTAGGTATTTTTTAAGTCACTCATTTTCTTTCTTATTTAACAAAAAAGTACTATGATTAATTATTTAAGCATTCACACAAATACACATATTTCTTTCTTTCCTTTTTGGATCTGATGAAGCCTAGAATGGCAAAATGTTTAATCAAATCTATTTTTAATGGAACATTTTCTATTTGTTATATATATATATATATATATATATATATATAAGTGAACATTGAAGTCAACATTCAGTGGCAACAGACTGTTTCATGCTAGATGCAATCGTCAGGCTGTGAGTGTTGGGTGTTGGTTTAAATAGTCGGGAAAAAACCCAACACTCATGGCCTTATGAATGTGTCTAGCATGAAATAGCCTGTTGCATCTGAGTGTTAACTTCAATGTTCACTTTTATATTTACATATGCTCTGTCTCTAATATTGAGCACTTTATCCCATAAATATAGTACACCTTAAAACTATATATATATATATATATATATATATATATATTTGAAGAAATATAGTTTTAAGGTGTATGTGTGTGTGTATATATGTCTCAGTATCGAAGGGTGAATTGGAAACCAGGGCATGCAGTTCATGATACAAGTCAATTGCCAATTTGAGAGTGAGGTGGTGGAGCCTTACACCCCCCCTGAAAATTACCCCGGTGAATGCGATATGAACTAATTTTAATGTGAGAAAATGCACTTCTAATCTATTGTGCAACTGAATCAAAGCTGCTTTCCAGTTATCAATTGCCATATCAATTCATTGTCAGCCAAAGGTTTTCAGAGCAATTACAGAATTCAAATGTTTCTGAGATTTTTTGTGTCTTGTCAATGCTGTTAATCAAATTGTCCAAATTGCAGTAGCTGGTAGCTGTCCATGTGTTCTTAAGTTGACAAAATAGTAGACATGGTTAACAGATCAATTTGTTCAAAATGGCACTTCCCATCCTCTACTCATAGTGTATGTCATTGTTATTTTGAATCCATAATTAAAAATCAAAATAACAATGATATTCCTTGCTGCTTACTTTGTTTTGATTCTCTGTTCAATCTTTGGTTTCTCTCTTCCAAGAATGATATTCTTCTTCTCTTTAAAGCTTCTTGTTGCAAAAAGTCATGAAAGTAGAGAAGAAACTGAGCTAACTGACACTTTTGCCATCCTGTAGATGAATGAAAATGGGAAAAATGACAGAGTGCCCATAATATATTTTATTCATAAAAGTAATTCAAAGATTTTCTAATTAAATAATGTCTTAGTTTTATTACTTTTTTATTTTATGATTCAGAGCAGATTTTCTGTAAATTGGGGTCCTGTTTGACAAAAAAAATTGATGATTTAAATTCACTAAGGACTTGTCATTATGACTAATATAAACATTGACATTACATAAAAGAATTTCTCAAAATTTCATAAAGTTAAATTAGTTGTATTTTAAAGATGTAAAAAAATATATATTTTTACCAAAATTTCTAAAAAAGAAACATTAAAAAAAAACATCTTTGAATTTTGGCCAATTTCATTACAAATATCCTTGAAAAGGGTATTAATTCATCTTTTCTCCTCCCGGCTATGGATTAAATAGCAGGACAGACTGGGCTCTTTAACCATGGTTGGCATCCAGTCATGGTGAAAGACAACTCTGAATGCAAAACATTCACCATGAAACAGTGGGTATGTAGCCTTAGTATGTAGCCTTATGAATTCTATAATCATTTTAATGTTTGTATAGTAATACAAACATTGAAATGATTATAGAATTCACAATTAACTTTGATGTAGGGTTGTTGACTGTATGATTTCTACTTGAGATTGAAAAAAATAACTAAAAATAGAATGAAGAAGAGAAAGCTAAATTTTTACAAATCCCTGAATTGAAACAGAAAACATGATGAATCCAAAAATTGGCCAGTATGACATCTGATGGATTGTCATGGTCCTTATCTATTCTCTCAGCAAAACACAACTTAGAATATGCTTTTTATCTAAGGTTAATCCAAAATCTAGCTGGCCATAATTGCATGGAAGGAAAACAATTTTGACAGGTGATTGATTATAGGTCCATATCTGTATTTCCTCCAGAAACAATTTTATGATCAAGAATCTTTTTACAGAAAATGTTAAGTATACTTTAAAATGTTGGAAGGTATCTGATGTTTCTTCATGTAAGTAACAGAAGCCTCTTCACTTCAAATGATGACTTAAAAAAAATTTAAGTTTTAACTATATAGAAAATAGCAAATGCTAGACAACCTCCTCAAAGATGAATAAGAGACTTGAAGCAACACAAATGTGGCTCTACAGGAAGATGCTGAGGATACCATGGACTGAACATGTGAGCAACAACAAGGTTTTGGAGAAAATGGAACCAAAAAGGAAACTTATACTTAACATCAGGAAAAGGCAGTTGAAATTTCTGAGGCATGTAATGAGGCAAGAGGGCTTGGAAAATCTGATATGCATGGAGCAGCTTGAGAGAAAGTAATAGTAATTCACAGATAATAAAGAAACAGAGTTTGTTGAGAGCTTGGAACAGGGACATGACACTTTAAAGTTTGAAGAATAATATTAAAAATTAAAAAAAGAGTACTGGATTGCTATATAATGTTTACTCACCTATAAAACATTGAATGCTGAACAATTTCATAATAAATGATGAAAAGGAGTTTACTGACATGTGGTTCTATTAATGAATGTTAAAACTGTCATGAACAGTGCATGTGACAAATAAGAAAGTTTTAAGGAGAATAGGAGCTACAAGGAAACTGTTTCAAACAATCAGAAAAATACAGCTTAATTTTCCGGGATACATAGTGACGAGGGAAGGCTTGATAAATTTAATACTCACAAGGCACATAAAGCCAAGAGCCACTGAGTAACTTACATGATAATTTTGAACAAATGGATGGAGAAACAAGTACAAAGACAAAGAGGGATCATAAAGGAACAAGTATTGCTGAGAGCAGTAAAAGACAGGAAGCAGTGGAGAGCCATGATTGTTTACATCCTGAAGTGACATGCCACATTGATTTGCATGTTCCAGGAATTTACAAATTTTATTTTAAGAAATTATCAAGTTTCAAAAGTTTAAAATAGCTAAATTTGGTGCTCCTACTATGCATCACAAGAGTCTTGACAAAATCCAGAAAAGGGTCTGCAATACAATTGATCATGACCTGACTCCTTGTCTCCAGTCATTTTTCTCACCGATGTGACATGACTTCCCTCTGTCTGTGCTACAAATATTTTCATGGCAACTGCTCAGATGAGCTTTTTTCCCTGTTGCCTTGACTACATGAATTTAAGTGTGCTACTCGATTGGCAACTAGGTCTCACCATTTTACTGTTGAACTAACCAGATGCAACCGCCACTTCTACCCTAACAGTTTTTTTGTCTTGCACTTCTCACTTGTGGAATTCCCTTCTGATTTCTTACTTCCCTGATGACTACAATCTTCAAAAATTTAAATGTAATGTCAGTCGCCATCTTCTGTTCCTTTTTTGTCTTTTCCTTAATCCTTCCCATTTTCAATCTTGTCTTTCTCTTTCACTTTCACTCACTGTAACCATTTGTGTTTTAGTGGCATTGTCACCTTGTTTGGAGTGAAACGATTAAAAAAAGATTATGATGAAGTATTTTCATTATTAATTTATTACTACTTCTTACTTCATATTACTAGTTCAAAATTTTATTAGGCAAGGCTAAGGGCTATTTGCACCATCTTGATTGCAGCAATATTTATTATCTGTAGAAATCAATAAAGACAAATAACAATACAACATCATTTTAACATCTTGCTATATGTAATTTATTTTTGTTGTATTTTTCTCTCAGGTGGCCTGCTATGGTTGAAATGGATCCAGACAGTTTATCTTACTTTGATATTGAAACAGAAAACAGCATGTATCCTGTAAGTCTGAATTTTTTTGTATTGTAGAAAATAAACATTGAATAAATAATATGATGATAAATGAAGTCAACATTAGAAATCATTAATTCAGGTGAGGAAAACGGATTTTGATCTTATATATATTCAACAAAAATCTATTTATGAATATGTGTGTGTGTGTGTGTGTGTGTATATATTTTATTTTATATGCACAGTACTTATTAGAAAGTTTTCATTATCAGTGATAGAGCTCTTGTTTGTCTGATGATCACAAAAGTGTGAAACCCAGGGTCAAAAACTCATATCCATACAACTGAACATGTTAGCTCTATCACTGATATTGAGCACTTTCTAATAAGTACTGCATCACTGGGTCACAAACTCATATCTATACAACTGAATATATATATATATATATATATATATATATATATATATATATATATATATATATTCTAGCAAACATGAATAAATGTGCCCACAGTAAGACAGTGTCAAAAGAATGTTTTTTCCCTTGTTACTGCTTTTTTTAACTATCTTCACTCTTGAATTTGTACATTTTCTTTGTTCTTGAGAATTTACAACAAAAATAATAAAAACTATTTATTTATTAGATTATTTATTTACATTATTATATTATTTATTGGGATGGTTGACAAAGCATCGGCTAATTACCAATTGATTCAGAATCTCTAAAATGGAAACAATATGGATTTCCTTATATGCACATAGACAGATCAAATGATTATTTTATCTTGGATCAATTCTCTTTACACTTAAATTTATTTTCTCTAAAACAATATGAATAAAATGCTTTCTAAAAAATGTATTTACTTGTGCATAGGAGATGAAATTTTCTTTCAATGCATGTTTATATGTTTAATTTTTATTTATTTCTCATTCTTGTAATAAAAGGTTTCTAAAATGCTTAGCAAGATTCACAAAATGGTTTCATTCATTTTGTGTAGGTTGAAATAGCTAGAACAATCAGGTCAAAAATTACCATCTATGGTAATCTTTGGCCTCACTATTTTGTTGTTCCTTTTTCTAATGAATCTATCAGTTTTTCCTATATGGCAGTTTTCCTGGCTTCAAGACAAGAAAGAACAAAAATATGGTGGATGAAACCAAGTCCGTTGTTATTGGTTAGGAAGAAATCTTAGCATGCATTTGTAGGATTTGTATATTGAATTTTGGAGGGGGATGTTCTTAGCAGATTTTCTTAGCAGACTGGAACCAGCATAACTTCCACTGATGAAGAACAAATGCATATGCTACTTTTTGACATGGTGGTGCACTTCTGGTATCGTTCAACGAGCTTCTTCATCTCTTCTGAAAAGTAGCTTTTTTCTGGTACATGAAGCCATATCTGCACTGCTTGCTTGTTTGGACACCTAAATTGCACAAACTTTATGGTAGCCCAAGTCATCATGTGCAGATCTATAGCTAATGCCTATGATTGCCACCACTTGTCCTAAAGTGATTTGTTGATCAAAGCATCTATCCTCTTGATGTGTTCTTCCATGCATGTTGTTTATGGGCAAATAGATTGGCTTTCATCAGTTACACTTGTTCTCTCCACTTTAATGTGTTCTACCTACACATACACCTTTCATTAATTCATGGTGCATGCTTCATACTGCGCCAACATCCAGTGATGGATTTCCACAGGGTTGACTCCCTCTACCCACAATGGACTACAGCATGTTGTTTCTTGATGGTGAAATCGCTAACTGGTATACCCATATGTCTGACCTCATTGTTCCTTGCCACTGAGCTGAATGAAAGAATGCTGTGCATGGCTAGCTCTCTGTTATCCCATACACTATTGGAGGAATGAGAATAAATCCATTAATATATATATATATATATACATATATATATATATACATATATATATATATATATATATATATATATATATATATATATATATATGGGCGTATGGCCAAGTGGTTATAAGTTTTGTGTTCTGACTATGCGACCCAGATTCAAATCTCACTATGGTTGATTTGTCAGGAAGTAGACTTTCTGATATTATCGGTCTGGAGGGGATGATCCCAGCATGAGGCACCTTTGGAAAATGCCTGAAAACCATACCATGGGTTGATCCAAGCCTTGTGAGTAAAATTGCTAGCACAAAGTCAAAAGTCATAATGACCGAGAGTTGGAGTGTGCTGGCCTTGTCCAGATTGTTGATTACACTAGATAACACACTCTCTCCCAGAAACTGTAGCTAAGGTCTGCTCAGCATAGTTGCAGTATAAACCACCGGTTGGTAATAGGGATTGGTTAGCCACCCTAATAGACGATTATCCTCAAATACGAGTGGTCAACTACTATATATATATATATATATATATATATATATATAAGGGGGGAAAATGTATGATAAAGTGGAAAAGTTTTCTTGTGACATGTTTCGTCCTTTAGAACTTAATCAGACTAAATTTGTTATGTTGATGTGACTACACATGCTCATGAATGAGTCATCCTGGGAACTTTTTTATTTTTTTTGCATTCCCCTTGGGAAAACTGTCTTTAGATGTGATGTGGTTTGACCTCTCTGCTATAGAGTGCATTGATGACTGAACAATGTTGAATAGTGCCTTTAAACACAGATTTTACTCTGACTCTTGAAATAAACCTATCTGCTCAGTTTAATATCCTAATGTAAACAAAGTAATTTGTAATGAAACGGATGGATTTTTTATTTATTAATTGGACAGATTTTTATTACTTAAATGTTTAACTAATAAAAATATGTCGGATTAATAAATGAAAAATCCATCCCTTTTCTTACAACTATCTATCTATCTATCTATCTATCTATATATATATATATATATATATATATAAATAATGTTTTTACTGATGGAATCATATATATGTAATGTAAGGGAATGAAATATAACAAATGTTGGTTATAGTTAAACATTGAGAGAAACGCTGAAGATGTAGGGATGCTTAACTTTAAATTTTAAATTGCAATCTCATATTTCATTCTCTCTCCTAAATATATATGATTCCCTCAGTAAAAAAAATTTTAGTGTGAAAAATTCTTTTTAAAGGATAAAACATGTCACATAGGATTTTTTCCATTTTGTCATTCAGTTACCCATATTAGTTGTCTTTTATTTATATTGTCATAACAAAAAAAAGTGTTTTGAAAAAACATTTTTATTGGTGCTGTACAAGACAATTGTAAAAAATATATAAATAATACAGCTTGACTGAATGGTAAGTATTAATCTGTCAAATGATTATTGCACTTATGTTTAGAGTTTATGAGATTTTAATTACACTCTTAGAAATTAATGTAATAAAGAGTGTTGGAAAAACAGATTGTTTTACAACTTAAAAAGACTGTGATCTTATATAAGATTAGAAGGAAATTTATTTTTTGGAGAAGAAATTGAATTTTAGGCAAACTTGGTCATTCATGGCCACAAAAACACAGAGTCACTGAAAAAAACATCTTCACACTCCATTTTTATTGCATACACAAAGGTCCGAGTTTGCCAAATTTCACTCTTTTGGAGACATTAAGAAATATTTTATTATATCATTGGTATTCATTTGACACTCTAAACAATTTTAGAAGGCTGGCTTATTTGAAAAATAAAGTTAAATGACTTGTTAATTCTTGTGGACATCAATGGTTATTTTCTGTTTGGTAACAGTAATTGTGAGATCAATCTCTGGTCTTGGTCGTACAGTTAAACAGGGTGATAACCTTCATTCAACATTTTACTGGATGAGAATGCCTAATGACAATTTCAAACAGGAAATAATTAAGATTAAACAATGAAAACTAATTAATCATCAAGCAGAATAAGTAAAGAGAGGACAGATTAAAAATAATAAGACATAAAATGAGTTTGAAGAGAGCTCTAGGAAGATTTGAACCTGAAATAAACCAAACAGAATTCATTAAGATTTAGTAAAACGAGATCTTCTCCAATCTACCCAGTTTCCTCTGGGGCAGTATGACAAGATTTATGATCTTTTAAAATTTCCAAAATTCAATGAAGAATTCTTTCTATATTTATTTAAATCTAATTTTGTATTGTTACCAAAATTCAACACTGGGTTTTGGACTGACCACATTCCAAAGAGGACTATCTATTATGAGACAAAAGGAGGTAGCAAAATATCTTACTAAAAAGACATTTAATAAAACAAAGCCACATATGTGCAAATTTTCTTACATAAATTGGACAGGTGAAAACCAAAACCAAACAGGACCAGATGGAAAGATGATAACAAAATAGGCAAGGTGTCTCTCACTGCCATTGCTTCTCATACCCATATAGTCCAAAGACAACAATACCCTGCCAGGACCAGTCTCTTGAGTTACAATTACTGCTTGAATAAATCTCTTGCCGAAAGATCATCAACCAGGTTATGTAGAAAGATTAATAATTCTTTGCTATGTATGTACTTTTAAATTCTTCAGTTTGTTTTCATTAAACACGTTAATAATCAACTAAGTTTTTTGGTCTCTTCTGTGAAATTGATTTTCTGCAGAAACAAAGTTAGCACAACTGCAAAGATTTCCCATCTGAAATCTCTGTGGAATCACAACAACCACTGGGTGAAATCCTTGCAAATCTGGTTACCTTCCAGCTTGCTGATGTCAACACATGATAGCTGTGAGAGTCAAAAAAAAACACCAAGTGATGAGGCCAAGAATATTGTTTTTCATATTGCTGGGACATGATAAAATGAGTAGAGTAGATACAGAGTTAAACTCAGTGGATACAGGACAAGCAATAACTGAACAGTACTAAATGACAAGAGGAAATATCCTTAGACATGTACAGCAGAATGAGAACAATCTACTGCTGTAGATTAAATAAAGGGTTTAGTTTGAAATTCCCTGAATCAACAGACATCTGTAAAAAGCTGGAAGGCACAGTGACTGAAACATTGTGATAATAAGAACAAAGATGAGGGTATTAGTCCAAATGTAAATAATGGTTATTTTTCTCAACCTGCATCCCAAGTCTATCTAGTAG